GAGGAGGAGGAGGAGGAGGAGGATCTCTCCCTCCTCCTGAGCTCTCTCGGCGACGGGGGCGGGCACTCCGGTGGCGATCCGCTACTCCCCGAAGCAGAGCAGCAGCGGCAGCCGCCGCGGCTGCCGCAACAACAGCGGCAACATCGCCAGATGGGGCCTGCTCCTTCTTCCTCCGCCGATTCTGGCCGCCGCCTCCTCCACCTGCGTTCGGCTGCTGATCCTCGTTCTGGCCGTGGGGCACCTTCTCGCAGTACTTGTAGTTGTTGACGCCGCCCTCTGCCCAATCCTGTCCGTTGTGCCGGCCGCCGCACTTGTCGCAGCAGTAGCCCGGCTTTCAGAGCTCCTTCAGATCGCTATGCTCCAGGAAGGGGCACCCTGGGTTGAGGCATGGGGCGAGCGTCCTAGCTCGAGCCTGCCCCTCCGCCTTGGCCTGCGTCACCTTAGGTCCTGCCGCCGCCGCGCCCGACGAGCTAGCTGCTCTGGGTGTGGGCGTGCCGGGGCCTTCCGCCGTCCACTTGCCCCAGCGCTCGTCGTCGTCCACTGCGCCTGCCCGCCTGTCCGACCCGCTGGCTCCACTCCTCGTGCCGCTCTGCGCATGCCGAGCTTCACAGACCGGTCCGTGACTGCGCCCCAACGTGTACGAGCACGCCCTGCAGCAATAGAAGACAGGGGTCGACAGCTCCGGCAGCCTCCTCCCGCAGCCCTCCATAATTATGGCAGACGCCCTCCTCCTCTGGGTTGATCCTTCTACGCCTAGCGCGGGCCTCGCCCTCGGTCTCCTCGTAGCTGAGCTCCTCCGGCCACTGGGTGTCCCTGAAGTCCCGCCCCTCGCGGTCCTGACCGAGGCAGACGTACGACACGTTATTGATACTGCCTTCCGCCGTGTTCACGTCCGCCTCTATGCCGTAGTAGAACGGCATTGCGAACGGCGGCGCCTTGGGCAGGCTGGTGGGCTGCACAGCGGTGGGCGGGATCGGATCCCCCCCAGGAAATCGTTCGGCACCGCTCTGGAAGGCGATGTATCCGCCCTGGATGAGACGGCGGCGGTGCTGGCGGCCGCTGCCGTCCTCTCCTTGGCTCTCGCACGATCCTGGGCCATCGAAGCGGGGTAGGCGCGGTTGCACATCGGGCAGTTCGTGTCTCGTCCCTCGCCCTGCACGCCGCAGCACTCGCACCAGGCATACTGGGCGTCCGGGCTCCCCCTTGGGAATGGCACCGGACGCTCCTCGCCACCTCCTCCTGCGCTGCTGCCTGGTC